ATATATATATATATATATATATATATATATATCTACTAATTTACGATCTTACAATTTCCAATATAACAACTTTATATTGATTATTTCATATAACTGATTAAACTAGTAACACACTCGATAAATAGATAGTATCTGTGCTATAAATGAGATAAATTTATCTACTAGAAAATAACCTATTTTTATTTTGGACAAGTAAATTGAACCTCTAACGAATGACCATTAATCTATCGATTCTTAAGAAAAAGGAAGAAAAAGACGGGAAATGAAAAATGCATTGCATTGTACGATTGAGAACGATTATTAACGAATCATAAAGGTGAGAATTATTAATAAAAATATATCAAAGCCTTTAGAAACGAACTAATGTTTCATTCATGAAAATTGAAAATCGATAGAAAATTATCAAAGGAATTTCTACGAGAAATCATCTGTGAAAATGAAAAGTTTTCTTGTGATATAAAAGAAAATAATATCGTAGTCGTTAATATTTTCTACCTGTTTGTGTTTGTTGTGGTGTGAGTATGTTTGTAAAGGGAGTTCGAGATTGGAAACAATTTTTTACTCTTTAAATAACGCTACTGGCCTTTTTTTTCATAGCAATATAAATGGAAAAGAGATAGGGGAAAAAATATAAAAAGAAACAAACATATTGAGAGAAACAGAGTTGAAATGAATAAATAAATAAATAAATAAATAAAAAAAAAAAAGAACATAAAACGAGTTCAAATATTCTTTGTGCAAAAGTGCAAAACTGCATTGCGTCATACGGAAAAAAAAAAAAACTCAAGCAAGTATCTCTCTATTACAAACGTCTATTTTTTTTCTATTTCTTTTCTTTTTTATGCACTTCCTTGTATGTATGTATGTGTGTGTATATATAGGTATGGTATGTGTATTTACATATTACTCTAAAGAAGAGAAAGGAATGGCGACAATTTCTCATTCATACAAGCACGTTATTCCACTTTCATTTTAGTTCATCAACGTCTTCCATTATCCCTATTTCTCTCTCTCTCTCTTTCTCTTCTATTTGTTTATCTCTAAAATAACTTGATGACGATGTAATGTAACTAATATTAAACTTTTAATGCTTATCTAACAATAGGAAGAAACTCTAATGTACTTTGTAATATTCACAACCACTGAATAATTCGATTACTTCGACTAAACCATTAACCACTACCACATACGAGAATATTCAATTTAAATCTTATAGGAAATCAATTAACATTGGTACAATTGTCACAATGATAAATACTAATTCTAATTCGATAAATTATTAACGATTTAGTGTAAGTTAAATAATATAATTAACATTAATTCTCATTTATTTATTATAAATATGCGAATAATTCTTTAAAAAAATAAGAATAAAAATAAAACAGTGAGAAAATTGTAGAACAATTGATTTTACGATGATTTATTTTATATTAAAATGATTATATAACACGTCACCCAATAAGTCTTTGATCTAATTAGTAAAAACAAATTTTTTTTTATAGAAATTCCACTTTATTCATCAGCATTCTCTCCTTCTAGAATGATACATTCATTTCAACGCTCCTCTAACTTTTCGGTGCCTTTTATGTAAATCGATTTGTCTTTGTTCTCAAAATAGGCCTCAGTTTCAGCAATCACTTCTTCATTTGAGCCAAATTTCTTTCCCTAGAGCATCTTTTTCATGTCTGCCTAAAGCCAATAGTCGCTAGGGACCAAATCTGGAGAGTACAGTTGGTAGAGAAGCAATTCAAAACTTAATTCATTCAATTTAACCATCGTTAACCCGTTGGTGTTTCTGGTCCGGTGTGAACAAACGCGGCACCCACTTCGAAAGCAACTTGCGCATGCCCAAATTTTCATGTCAAATTGTAAAGACTTTACTTTCTGATATCTTTAAGGTGTCAGCTATCTCACACAACTTCATTTTACTGTCTTTCAAAACTATTGTGTGGACATTTTTGATGTTTTCCGGAACAACTGCCGAATTTAGGCGACCAGAGCGTTCAGCATCATCTGCGCTTGTACGACCACGTTTAAATTCAACATACCAGTAAATAATAGTTTATTTCCTTGGTGCAGAATCCCCTTAATGCTTATCAAGCCACTGTTTGGCTTCAACAGTATTTTATCCCATCAAAAAATAGTGTTTAATCAACACACAAAATTCCTTGCTATTCATGGTCTTGAAAATTACAAAACTGGGGTCACTAAAACGACTGTAACTTCTAAACTAATGGTCAGAATTCCATGAAATTTTTACACGTACTGTTCGAAGGTTAGTAATACACGAAAATCACGTGAGTTTGTTAACAGTCTCACCATATATATGTCAAATTAAAGACTTATTGAGTAACGTGTTATATATTATAAAATAAATCATCAAACACACACATTTTCCAATTGTATTTGAATTTATTTTATTATAATTAAAAGTACGTGTAAGAATTCCTGCTAATTTACAAATAACATTATCTCGGTAATGAAATAACAAATTTGTTTGAAAAGAGAATAAGATTATCTTGAAAGAAATAATTTAAAACCGAAATAGGACAGATGAGGACAGATGACGATGAATCGAATAGAAAGATCGATCGATCAATTAAACCTAATTCTGCTTGGTTTTAAAAGTTCCTACTGCTATACCTGACTCGACTCAATCCTCCAAGATTGAGTACGTGAATCGGGGTTATGCCAGTTAAGAAGAATAATTAAGAATCGTTGTACCGTGAAACCCATACCTTTTTTTCTTTTTTTTTTTTCATTCTTTTCTATCTTAAGAAAATAATGAAAGAAAAGGATGAAAAATATAACAAAAAAACTGTTTTGATTATGAAAATAAATATGTTAGAGGTAAAATTTGAAAATTGTTGTTAACACTATACACGTACAATATACACGTACACATACAATAACATGTATATATGTATATATGTTGACAAGGAGTAATCGGAAAATATTTAAAAAATATAAAATAAATAAATTTACCATAATGATTTTGAGGATTTTATTTTATGTTATACACTCACCCATATACATATTGATTTTTATGGCTTATTTTTTCACTCAACTGCTATTTCTCATTTCTTTTTTTTTTCCTATTTTGTTTTTTGTTTTTTGTTTTATTTACACACACACACACACACACACACACATACGAAAAGCATTTCGTACGATTCTATGTATATATGTAGAATACAAGGTAGAACACGAATGATATTAAGGTACCCGTATAATCTCCTAACGATAGGATTAAATAGGTTAAAAGGATTCTCTCTTCCTGTACGTTTACAAGGATTTACAACGCGAATTCTCATTGTCGCGATTTATGGTCTATTTGTCCTTATATTTAGAAGAAAAATTTTTTTTTTTGAATAAATAAGCCGTTTGTTTTGAAAATGGCCTAACTACATTTTCCAAAAAAATCGAGAGAGTTACATTTTTACATGATCTTTTTATTCGGAACCAATTTATTACAAATATATTTTAAAAAAATTAAAATTTTGCAACACGAAAATTTGTTCATTATGAAGCGATGAAAAAGTTTATTTTAAAAGTGTCCTAATTCCAATTGTAAAAAATATCTTCCGATTGTCCGTAATTATTCTCACTCATGGAGATTTTGGCGTGATAAAAATGTCTTAAAAAAAAACATTATTTACTGTTTATCAACCAAAGATTATTATAATATTATCAGAAAGTGCCGGAAAGGTAATAAATTTATTGTAAATAAAATGAAACAAGAAGATTTTTGTATGACAAAATTACATGACAAATTACGTGCACGGAAGATATATTTTTCTGTAATAAACAATTATTTTAATACTCCAATGCACTTTAATTATATTTGAATAGTTATTGTACACGAGTTATATACAAGATGTTAAGAAAATACCATTCAATATTTATATGGTATATAGGATATACTGTATTCAGTAAAAATGTTTTAGTAAAGATAGGAAATGTAAAGTGTTTCTAAAGCATAAACATTTTTGTTTGCTAATACAGGAGATACTTTAATTATATGAAAAACGTTAATATGTACATTACTTAAGTAAAGTGCGCAAAAATTCTTGATTTTGTATGTTAACAGAGATAATTATTTAATCTGCAAATTAATAAAGTTTACAAGCTTCAGTTGTAGCATGTAGAGGGAGTTCACGTAATGCTAGACACTTATATATTTCAAAAAATAATTATGTGAACAATTCAAAAACGGGTGAAAGAGGTGTGTAATCATACGATTCAGTTTATCGGTGATGCTCAAGGCAAAATCAAGATTGGTCAATTTTTGTTTTCTGCAGGAAAACACTGCATCGTCTAAGATTCTGGTAAATGTTACAGCTACATGTCTGTGCTTAAGTCTTTATGGTATTTGTCCATCTATAAAAGGGCTCCATTTTTATTCGTTGTAGATGAATCTTTTTGTTAATTTTTCAAACGGACTAGGTGTAGATCACGTAACGTTGGTATTACTATGTCCCCTAGTACCGAACAAAGATGGTTTCTTAACGTGGTACAGTGGAACCTACATTCAAATTAGCAAAAGAAAAAAAAAGAAAACAAATATTTATATACACAATGAGTAACAGAATTATTCTATATATCATTACWGACAAAGTTTATAAACAATAATTGATACACAATGTTTTCAAATTCAAATTCATTTCAAGTTCATATCATTTCAATAAACGGAAAATCTATTTTAAAATTATTTATTCGTTTAATGAATAAATTGAGATCACTTTTATTGCATTCAAAAGAATATTTTATTCTAGAAAGACTATATTATTTCAGATAAATGATAAGAAAAAAAAATTATGTATATTATATCATTTGTATCCAGTA